GTGTGGAGGAAGAGGAGACATTGTGCAGGAGGCTTAGGTCTTTGTCCTAATCCTAATCTTGACTAATTCCTGTTGCCCAGAACCATTAGAGGATAGAAAAGAGCCGCACAGCTGCCTCTTTACAAACCCCAAAAACCTTCCAGATGGAAACACACACACACACACACACACACACACACACACACACACACACTGCTACACACACAGCTGGGTTTCCATTCAAGTATTTTTATACGAATTCCAATGTACTGAATCAGAAAAGTGGGAGAGAGGCGGTAAATTATGACAGAGCGTCTCAAATATTGCAAAATATCAATCATCATCTTAACAAGGCAGAATGAGAGGAATATAAAAAATACTAATATAAGCCTGTACGCACAGTGTGTTTCAACTCAGCTGATGAAAACGCTTCAAATCACTAGTTTGATTTTTTTGTTTGAAGAGCAGAGAAGAAAAAAGAGACAGAGGCCGTTCATATATATAATTCATACAGATACGTGCCGCAGGTGTGTTTTCAACATGAATGTGGTCGTGCTGACACGCTGCAGGTGTGTTGGAGTTGAGTACGTGTGTGTGTGTGTGTGTCCTGTGTGTGTGACGGCTTGGCAGGTCACAGTGAGGATGCACAGTAACAGCTGGAGAGCAGGCTGCAGGACAGACACGCCTATACACATCTCTCTGGCACAGATACCTTCAGCTTGGATCTGAGCCGCTAAGAATGCCTGCAGTGTGTGCGTGCGTGTGTGTGTGTGTGTGTGTGTGTATAACTGTTGATCAGGCCTGTTTGAACAACCAACTGTACTTTCTGTGCTGCATCTCCCTCACACAGGTGAGGATGTGGCAGGAGGAGTGAGCTGCAATTATAATTGAAACAGCCACGAGTCGAGATCTGACCACGTGGACCAAAATCCCGTGAGGCTCATCACCGCAACGCAGCGTACGCACGGTCAGCCCTCGTGCACCTCTCAGTACTTCCTGCATCACATGTTTGATCTGATGTGTGTGTGTGTGTGTGTGTGTGTGTGTGTTTGGCTGACAGCGGGGGATCTCCCTAAGCAGACACACACTAACAAAGACGCCCTTGTGTTATTTAGCTGTGACCACATGATTTCATTCCTCTGTTGTATCCAACCACATTGTTTGGTAATTACAGATACAGGAGGAGCAGCTATTTGCATAACGTGCAAATAGCACATTTAAACTTTTTGTGAGTCTGCATTTTAGATATCTGTAAGACGATGAGTGTTTAAGCCTTCAGACACAGAAAAGCTGAGCAGATAACTTTAAAGTTTTGTCGTCTGTGACAAAAGTTTCATTTTGAACAGTTGGGACAAAAATATCTTTCTTATGTCACTTCAAATCAGTTTCCAAAACTGTGTCGTAACATCACATAATGAAAATAATGACTCGGTATGCTTAACGTGTGTGTGCAAGGCTTTACACTCTCTGAGCACTTTATTAGGAACACCTGTGCACGTTTAATCCTGAAGTTATCCAATCGGCCAATGTGGCAGCATAAAATCCTGCAGACACATGTCAGGAGCTTCAGATAACGATCACGTCAAACATCGAGATCGAAGGATGAAATGTGATCTCAGTGACTTTGAATGGAGCCAAAAACAGAAAACACTGAGTGCGCAGCAGCTCTGTGGCTTTCACTGAGCTTCATTCACACCCACCTCACATCCTGATTGGTCAGCTGTGTGGAGGTCAGCGAGGAGCCGAGGACTAAACTTCCCTCTCAGCTCTCTTTTTTTCATGCAGAGCATAACCACAGGAGCCATACATCATGTCTCACACCCCAAGTGTGTAAAAGTTCACAATCTACAAACACAACTGCGACCCGTGACGTAAATTTTCCTCCGACTTCCTGACGTCATTGCACTGCAGGCTGAACATCGTCAGTGAGTCAGTCAGAGTGCAACTGCTGCCAACGTGCTGCTTATGTTACGCAGCCAATGTGCACAAGGTGTCGTACCCCAAATCTGCAGAAGTATAAAAGAAAACAGACGCAGAAATATTTCAGAAGGAGAATCATATTCCAGCCTTGAGATGGAAGAAGTGCGTTTAGGCTATTATGTCTGAAATGATCCTGTTTTGAACGAACCGAACGCACAGATGGAAAGTGGAAAGTTGGATTGTGCTGCGAGAGAAGTTTCTGTAGAAAACCTCTGCAGAGAAGATCTCACTAATAATGCATCGATTGGTTGAATTTACCATTAGTCTCGTCGTTGTAAGATCAGACAGAAACATGCTTAAACACATGTGTACTAAATCATCAAGGAATGGAAAGACAAAACTGAAAGAACATCTTGATTGTCTTCAGCTGGTGTGTACTGTTTTTTTTTCCTAAATATTTAGACAAAGGAAATTCTGACATATGACAGAATTTCCTTTCTGCTCTAAAAAAAACAATAAATCTATAATCAGGAGAAGGCCAGGAAAACTGCACGCTCATCTTCAACTGGACGAGACGATGCAGCAGCCACAGGGTGGAGGTGAGCCAGAAGGTTCTCTCCTTGGTTTCATCAGAAGCAAAGGGAGAAAACAAATGAAGCTACACGAGAACAAGGACAGTTACTGTGAGGACGTCCAAGATGAGTCCAGCTCCAGAGGACGTACTTCCTGTCTGGTAAACTACAAGGTAACCCTCATATAGACGTAACATAAAGTCAGTTTTGACACGAATTTAGCATCAAGAAAAATGTCTGCTTTCCAGGAACTGAGAAAACTGGAAGGCCCATCACTTTTTTTTTATTTACTCAGCAGAGTTTAGAAAAACTTTCACAAGACGAGTGGCTATAATTTCCTCAAACTAGAAGCATGTAATCATTCAGGTGAAGCTAAAAACCCCCAAAACTGGACCCACGAGGTTCACACAGGATGACAGCAGTAACGACTAACCACAGCCTACATTTCACAACACTGATTTCACATATTTGACTCATGTCTGAAAACCACATGACCACAGTAACCTCACCTCCCAGGAGCCTGCTCCACTCATGTTACTGTACTTTATAAATCTTTAAGCATCCTGGTGGAGAGGCTATTGTGCAACGCAGGGGCACAGCCAGCGCTTTGTCTGACACGTCCACGCAGCCACGACGCAAACGGCTTCAGTCGAGCTCATATTCTGCCTCTTCGCTCTTTCCCAAACCTAGAAAATTACATAGCAATTACTGAATTACCTCTTCTGCTATTTTATATTAAGTTTCCATCCATGTTACAAAGTATCTGGCACTGGGCCGTGAGGTGGTGGGTCAGGACAAAAATGTCAGGAGCTTCTGTGTGCAGCTTCTCTTTTTTTGGACGGGCTCCCTTCATTCTTTAGATTTAGACAGTAACATAAAAAACTGTGATTTACAAACATGGGTTTCTTTGGGCGTCCTTCTGCAGTTGGCAGGGAGTAGGCGAAAAGATTGCAGCTGAACTAAAACTAAAATAGAAAATACTGAATACACTGAAAATACTATAACTCCTGAACATTACATGTTGCAACTGAGGGTGAGTTAAAAGTAGTTAAAAGTAAGTCAAAAGTCATGCATACAAGTACATTAGATATGTAAAATAGTTAAATGTACTGATATAGTTAGCTAAAAGTAAAAGGGTGTTGAAACAATTAGCTTAACTCAACCAAGTATCGCACTTTTTCATACTCATTGTCACGAAAATGCCCAAGTTTTTTTGTGCAAGATGGAACAAAATTGAAACCTGTATGTTTTAAATTTTCGTGACCATGAGCACGAAAAAGCGTGATTAAAAAAAAAGTAGTGTATACATGATTAAAATAGTTGAATTAAAGGAAAGAATAAATGGTTAAAACAGTTACAACATTGCATTGTTCAACTAGAAAGCTAAAGGTAAAGGACAAATGAAATATCTAAATGGATAAACAGCTGGAATAGATAAGTCATAGACAAATGGTTGAAATATTGACTTGCTGCAGTTTTACCACAAATGGAAACTTGAGTTAGTGTGAAACCGAACGAACTTCAACGTTGGCAGTTCAATTGTATAAAAAAAACCTGGAGACTATCGCGCGTTGGCATCACAGACCAGCCACGACGCCCGTCAACATCATCATCATTATATGGTCTATTCCAAGCAGCTGAAAAATGAAGCCAGTAGTGAAAGTGCCAAAAACTGCAGTTCCTCTAATGACCACTAGAGTCTGGCTCCAACAGTGAGTCAATCCCCATAGACTCCCATGTTAAAATGTCCAACTTTAACGCAGTAATAAACATATTTACAGCCTGGTACAAAAAACAGTTTTGGTCTCTAGAGCTAATTTCCTCCTTCATGACGACTGTTTATATAACTCACCTGTTTAATTTTTATTAAGGCTTAAAGTTCTGTTTGATTGAGGGTGTGCCACTAACCAGCATGCAACTAAGTCTTGGTTCCACACAGGCCCCAAATCCTTGCCCATGGCAAAGATTAGCTGGGAGTTAGGGGCGGAGTTAGACACTGCCAAGATGGCAATGGCTCAACCTGAGCTTCCAAACCGCTCCTCAGAAACCTGTGAGTGACGTCACCGACGCTACGTTTATGCTTATATACATTCTATGGTCAATCCACACTCGTCTTTGAAGCTGGCCTTCATTTTGATCTCAACTACACACCTGTGAAGTTTTATGACTGAATCACTGCGACAAATCTGTCCAAGAGACATATAAACACCTGTAAGTACTCAAAACTGCCTCCGGGGGGTTCCCACTGCAGCTGGTGTCTCCAGGAACATATTTTGGCAGGATGACACACAAAGAGACTCACAAGGTGACAACAGTACCAGCCAGGTATTATTGTAAACATCTCCACCCTTCTATAATCAATAGTGTTAAATAACTTTCAGTTTAAAATCTGTTTAAAAATGAGGATCCGTTTGGAACATGACAGATATATGGAGGTACAGCAGTAAAACTAGGTTGGGAACAAGTGTCGTAAAGGGACTCTGGATCAAACCATACAGCGTCTCCCCTCCACCAACATGCAGTACTCACGTTCGTCTTGCTGGACACAGCAAATGTGGCTCGGCTGGAGAAGCGGGCGGTGGAGGGGCTGCTGCTGGACACCGGGCCTGTCACCATGGAGGAAACCCTAGAGCCAGCAGGAGGACTGCTGGAGCTGGGGGAGGATGAGAAGGTGGCAGGGGGGGATGCCGGGCTTGACTGACTGCTGAGGCTGCTGTAGGTCTGGGCTTGGCTCCCCGGGGCGCAGGGCTGGATGTGGAGGAGAGCCTGGCTCTGAGTGTGAGCCTGACCCTTTCCGTAGACCACCTCCTTCACCTCCTGATGGTTCTCCTGAATGTCATTGAGATGATTCTTGTGATTGGGACTGTGACTGTGGTTGTTGTTGTTCATCAAGCTGCTTCTGTCACACGTCATCCCACCTAGGAGCTCCACCTGTTGGGTGAGAGCCTCCAGCTGACTCCTGAGCTGCCGGTTCTCCTGCTGGAGCTGAGCCACGGCTCGTCCCAGGGGCCCGCTCAGGTTGGCTGTCTCCTCCAGACGACGCTCCATGCCCAGCTTAAAGGCGCTGACATCCATGTGGATCTCCCTGATAGCGTCCCGCAGAGTGTGCTCGTACCGGGCCAGAGCTGCACACACCGTTTCCCCCTCTGGAGAGGAAGACCGGGGGTGACACAAGTCTCCCATCTCAGCGAGGGTTGGGGCTTCCATCGGTACCGCTGTTGCCACTGGTGACCCTCTTGGGATGGAGACCAGACAGTCTCTCAGTCTCTGAGATCCTCTGGACACTGGAGAACTTCAGTCACTGTGCTGAGGGTTTGACTGGAGGGAGTGCGGACTCACAGAAGAGGGTTGGGAGGTGAAAGTTTGCAGGAGGAGGAGGGGGGGCAAAGGTCTGGTCTGTTTTATCCCCACTCCTTCAGCTCCGTCCTATAGGCTGGTACAGATGTCTCACTCTGTCTTCAGTCTGAAAGCACAAAAGGAACAAGACTTGACCTTTAGCTCGTGAGCAGCTGTCAAAGTCTGAGTCGTAGATCTGGTCCTGAAAATGAAGATATTAGCAATAAAATTAAGGCTGGTATCAAATGTTTTCATTCAGAATCCTGCTGTGTTTCATAAAGGCGTCACAATGACAGACAGAAAACACACATCTCTTTGAGCCACTCATGTCCCATAACTGCTATAAAACAGAGCAGTGAGGTAATCTTCACTCACAGCTGCGACAAACCTACCTCAGTGTAGAGTTCCCTCTGCGCTGAACAGCTGTATGAGTGTGTGTGTGTGTGAGAGAGAGAGAGAGAGTGTGAGCTCTGCTCTACGCTGCCGCCTCTTCTGGTTTGTTTAAACTCTCAGGTTGATCACTCCTCTCCTCTGGCCCGGAGGAGGGAGGAGGAAAAGGGAGGGAGGAAGGAGGAGTGGTGGAGTGGAGAAACAACATGGAAAGAGTAGTAAATGTGAGGGGAGGGGAGGAGGGAGGCGGACCGGGGAGCTTTTTACATCCTTGCACTGTGTAAACTATTGGAAGACGTCCCGTTCCCGTCCTCTTCTCTCTCTTCTCCTCTTCCTCCTCCTCCTCCTCTCCTCCTTAAGAAGAAGTGAAGAATCCCGTCTTTAAATCTTTCATTTGAACGAGCCGTTGCACGTATGTCACGTTAAAGCTGCAGTAATTAATGTTTTTATATTAGAAACCTTTGTCAAATCTGAAAGGTGTCGCTCATAGAGTCGCTGCAGTTCCCCTCAGCTCCACTGAGCGACTTTCAGCTCCCTGTTTTGGTTTTACGTCAGGTCATTTTACTGATTTGGTTCACTGTCACGCTGTCGCCATGAAACTGCCACGAGGAAATGAAATGTCAGTGTTGAGTTACAGCTTGTTCTCCTGCCTCCAAGGGGACAAAAAAATCTATTAATGCAGCTTTTTTTTTGCCAATTATTTGATTTAATGTTGCTGTCTTTAATTCTTACTAAATTCAACCATTAATGTAGCACACAGCATCACTTTTGTTGCTATGGTTACTGTCAGTCTATGATGGTTTGTAACCTAAATCGATCACTTTAGAGAGGTGATTGGTTGTTAAAGTGTCCTCAACACCTGTGAGTCGGACAGGTGTTTTCAATGGACACGGTATAATGATAATTAAAGTAACGCGAGAGACAACACAAAATATCAAACATATGTCAGATAATACAATTAGAGGTTTTAAAACATAACCCAGAAACAGAAAAACAGAAAGGAATGAAACCAATTAAAAATTTATTAATTAAATTAAAATAAATAATAATAATAATAATAAATAAAGCAATAGAAGAAAAAAATAAAAATAAACAAAGTAGAATAAACAAAAAGGGGGTGGACGTCCTTGTGTATCTGTCTGCTGGTATACTGTCAATATAATCAGGATGAATCAATAAGAGAACGGATCAATCGTAGTACAGATAATGGATTCTGTTACCTGTTTCCAGCTCAGTAAAATGAATCTGTGTCAGCAGACTAGGATCTATTTCACAGTAGAGATTCAACCCACAGCATGTACATGGAAGTGTTCCCATTTTCTAAAAGAGTTGAGAACTCACAGTTTCATTTACATCTCATACTCCATCTAATTTTACTTTGATTCTCCATCTGCTTCAGTCATGTGCAACCTTTTTCCCTTCCTTTCGACTCCATCTGTAATTCTTTCTCTCTCTGCTGTTATCTTTCCATCCCCTCGCTCTAATGGTATTTTGTTAAGATAAACACTGCAACAGGTCAAAGGTCAACATTTCCTGGCGTTGTACCCTCTGATGTAAGGTTAGGTAAAAATATAAACAGTGGAAAACCACCGCAGGTAGATACAAAAGTCATCTCTGTTACAGAGAAGTGTTATTATATTTTGCTATTTCCACATTTTTCATCGTGTATAATACGTCAGCTCGATGCTATTTACTTCACACGTGTATCACACATTTACACCATGAGCAGAAATGCTGATAGAGGGAGTTAAATAGAGTTCAGCAGTTTTAAACTTCCACAGATTTACTTTACATTTTTCTAATCGGTTCTATTGTCTTATATGTGATGGCAGCACGAGACGGAGAGACCACCACCCTCCCCCTTGTAACTGGACCCCAACAGAGCAAACATTCCACACCAGATAGCAATTGTGTGTGTGTGTGTGTGTGTGTGTGTGTGTGTGTGTGTGTGTGTGTGTGTGTGTGTGTGCAACAGACAGACTCATGCAAATACTTCAACATTCCACCCTCCTGCTTACCGTCAACAGTGTGTGTGTGTGTGTGTGTGTGTGTGTGTGTGTTGAGGAGTGTGTGTGAGACAGGGATGAGGAGGGGGCTTGGTGTAGTGATTTACTGGAAGATTGTACCCCCTCCCTCACACACACACACACACACACCTTCAGGGTTTTATGTGAGTCTGCTGGGGGCCGTGCAGGACGCATGCGGCAACAAACCACTAGAGGTCAGAGGTCACAGGTATCAGCTTCATCAGTCTTCAGTGCTGCTGTATCTGAACCTCACAGAGCAGCTGGATTTCTCACAAGCTAGAATCCATCTCACCACACTCCCAGCTATTGGCTTGTGGCCGAACCACAGTGGTTTGGACCAATCAGCGTCCGATGAGGGAGAAACTACTGGGCGTGCAAGAAGCTTCTGTTCATTAAGAATAATGGCGGCTGCTAAAGAGGTTAGCCTAGATGCTGCTGTTGCATCACATAGCAGAACTGGAGAGTGTTTGTTCATTGAAAGAAGAGCAGGGAACGACTGCTCCTACATATGCAGGATCTGATCGGTTGAAATAAGCCTGTGATAAACATCCAATCATCTGCCAAGTAGTTTTTGAAAGTTTCCAACAAAGCCAGGTTAGGTATCTTAGACTGCGTCCTTATAAATCTGTGAAGGTATAGAGTGCTGCAGGGATGACATATTGTTGATGTTAGCATCACCCAGGCTCCTTCCACAAAGAGCTAATGGGATTTTTACATTTGCTTTTGGATTATTGCAGAAAAGAAACTCTGAAATGAACATTCAGCAGGATAATCTTCTTTGATGAAAACCACTTTATGATTTTTAAAGCCTGAACGCAATCGACAGAAGTAAAAAAGCTAATGTTAGCCTATAAACAAGCTACACCACGGTCACATGACTTCAACCTCACCACCACTAAACTTCAACTTGTGGTTTGATTTAGCTCTGACCTCTTCTATAAAAAAAACTTTCCTTTGACAAAGTTAGTAACAGTTTGTATAAACACAACGAGGTGGAGAAGTGAGTAGTTAAACGTCTGTAGTCTCATTTAGACACTTGTTAGCAGCCAGCCTTTTTTAAGAGGCATAAAATCTTAAATAAATCTCAACTGGGGTATTTACTGGTTATTTACTGGACAGGTTTTAGGGCCCATTCCTACGGCGCTATTTTACCTCTATATTGACTCGGCGCTCCCTTCTTAAAGTTTAGCTTTTTGAAAATGTTCTCAAGTGTAAAACAACTGAACCTCTGGTCTTAAACACACTGATATATACTGTAGATGTCGACCTTGCACAGGCACGATTCTGTGTGGCAGCAACATTACAAAGCCAACTTCCTGTTTCCCCCTAATTTTTGACAGGAACAACATATAACGTGCAATCAGGTCATGATCTAACATAATCCAGTCATCTGCCAACACAAACAGGAAGACGTGTCAAAGTGAACAGCTTTAATGTGTGATTGTAAGTTTCAAAACATAAATCAAGACGTCACAGAGAGTCAGTCTCATGTTTGAATAAGGCCCCCGAGCCAAGTGTCTGTAAAAGTCGTGGCAGCAGACGAGGTAATCTCCAGTCTGACAAGGAATCTGTAACACTGCTGGCTACACCTGTCTGTAAAGGTAATGAATCACCTGTACAACTGCATTTTATAGTTTGTCAAAGTGATTTAATTTCTGTGCATACAAAATAATAATTATATTACACATGTCTTACATAGTTCTCAAGACGGTGTCTTGTCATGCTCTTTACATTAAATCTCCATATTTTCTTCTTCTTCTGTGTTTTATTTGAAGTGTTGATCCATAAGAAGATATATTTGTCGTTCTAAGAACCAAAAACCATCTCAGTGTAGTTTTACATCTCCTCTCTCAGGCTTCTCTCTGGAGCTCTAGTAACAACAGGTCGGTGAGCCGATCAGAAGAGAGGAGGCTCTGAGCCTCTCCTCTGATTGGCTGACTGTTTTCTGAGTGATCCAATAACAATATAGCAGATTTCAGGTAAAAACACTCAGAGAAACCAAATCCTGCAAGGTTTGGATGGTGGGTCCAGGTGGGCGGGGCTTGGGACATGGCTGAGAGCGGTTGTGACATCACAAAGTTCCAGAAGTCCTGACGGCTGGTTTTAAGGCTCAGTTTCTGAATACAGGCTGTGTGCATTTCTCTGTGGACTGAGGCTTTGATACTTTCACAGTATTAATATAGAAGCTAGACCTGATCTATAATCACACTACACATGGACAGAGACCTTTACACTGGAGGAGCTTTAAATTCTGACTTGAGTCTTGTGCTGTAGGTCTTCCTCCTCCTATGGAGACAAACATCCAACCATGTTTGTCAAAACTCTCCTTTGCATTCTCATGCATTTTAGCCGACCTTTTAATGTAATTCTGTTGTTTACTAAACTCCATTAAACTAAATAATAAGTAAGATACATTTAATGGTTTTCAGTGTAGAGAGCTCCAGTATGAATGAGGCCCAGTTTGACACTCACCGCAGTCTGTATGGACATGACAGAAACCAGACTCCAGATTAATGCTAATGTTGCGTCATGTCTGCTGCATGAGTAATCAGGTGATACACTTATGTCAGTGTTGTGTTTACCACATGTGTCATTGTCCCTAAGTGGTTAAAGAAAATCAATTAATACTGTGCTGTGAGAATTCAACACTATTTCAGCAGCTGTGTTTGTGGAGCAAAATCATGATTCATCCTGTGTCATCATTATGTGACTCATTAAATTATAGCTGTAAAATTAAATTATAAGCTTGCTTACAGTGAAATAAAACTATTCCTCGTTTTGCTTGGGGCACCCTGAAAGTCCCAGTAAACCCCCCATGTGGGTCCTTATAGAGCAGACTTTGAGAACCAGTGCTTTCCAGTAACAGTGAGTCAGCAGGTGATGTGGTATGACCTGCATGAATCACAGTGGTATGAAATGAAATACTTCAGCTGTCAGCACAACAATACCCCCCCCCCCCCCCCCCCCCCTTTCCCTCTCTGCTCAGCCTCCCACGAACCAAGTCGAGCCTTTTCATTGTTTTGACAGTGACCACATATGTTTTACTTCTCCGACTCTGGCTCC